CTTCATGTTGACTGAAAGAGCTTGTTTTGGAGACACTACCCATCCCCCTTTCAGATGACGAAATCATAAGGGCATAGCTTATTCTAAAGTTTTCACTTATGCATACATGATGCCAAGGGTTCAAACTAAATACTGAATGGCCACACAAGTGTCAGATCACAATTTATTGTAAACAGTGCCAGCTTGAATATCTGGACACAATGTTTTTGAAAGATTAAAATGGTGGTGTCCTTAAAAAATAGCCCCCGACTAAATATATACTAGTATAAGGCAATTCAAGTCTTTGACTGTTGATCATGACGGGAAGTCATCCAATACTATACTGAACATATTTTATATGACATTATCTGAGGGCATACCATTATCCCAGAGGTACCAAAAGTCAAATCGTTTTTCATTTTCTGCAATTTTGTTATAAATATTTTACCCCAAATATCTGGTTAACCAGACTCCTTCAAAATGAAATGGAAGCTTTTCAAACATTGGACATCGAGAATATAGTTAGGCTACGTACTTTTTGATCGACCCTCGTAGCTTTCCACATATCTCCAAACGAATAGTGCATATTCAGCTTCATTTAATGTTCAATAATGTCAGTTTATCATTTAAGAACACTAGTTCCATTCCTTGAATTTCGCAACAGTAACACAGATCCCGTAATCCCTATCATATGTTAAATAGTATATTGTAAATTTCCTGTTGAAATATTATATTTTGGCTGTTTCCCGTTTCCTTTTCCATAATGTCGAAAATAATTTCAGTAATCTCTTACATGAATATTTAAATTTTCAGTGAAATTTCACACATATTCCTTTCCTGCTTACTATCTCTTTGTATTTATGTTAAAGAGGACACTAATGTCATTAAATCATTTAGAAGGAACAGAGTAAATATGTGCAAGTACATTGTAATTTGACCATATGAATGATGTCGGCGTGAGAGATATCTATTATGTTATTTAAAATTTAATTTAAGTACTGTTACGACGACATTTATATAATGGCATCAATACTATGTTTTCCTCAATCACTGTACTTGTAAATGTATAATATCTAAGATATTGCAATAAATATATAAATAACTCGAACAATAATTCATGAAAAATTATATTGCTTGTATAATGTACAATAAAACATATTGTCTGGCATTAGAAACTTACATTTTAGTATCATTATATCACATTCTCCCTATCAGAATTACCCTTGATGTTAAATACAACCATTCCGTGGCGCTTGTCCAACCTCTTCACCTAACAATGAAGTATGGCCATGAGAGTAACACTTAATTAATTACTTGAAAATTACGCATGAAAAGTAGGTTGATTGCCTGAATTAACTGTAGAGTTGTAAAATACTTAACTGATCAATGTGTTTACAAACTTTATTGTTTGCACTGCAGGTGCTACGCTCAGCTGATGGTTTTCATTTTCGATTGACCCTCCCTTGTGTTATGATCTTTCCACAGTTTAATGTACCAGATTTATGCCGTATTGTGCTTTGTCTGCAATACGTTTCGATTGCATTTACTGTTAACGCAGACAGGGTTGTCGATATCTGTGGACGAGGCACACGGGACTGACAGATTACGTTTGATAGCACCGAGAACTGAGTAAACACTGGAATAGGAAGCAAGCATTATCAGCATCAACATGAGTTGATAAGAACCTGCGTTAATGGAAGGCCAATGCACAAGGCAAGCAATCGGTGTTATTGCTTTGCGTTGTTATTGCTTTGTCTGAGTCCATTCTAATAACCTTGCGTGATAAATTTCAAGGAAATGGTTTTTCGGAATCGAACTACCACAAGTTTAATTTTTACTGACTTTTTGTAATGAATCTTTAAGATCATGACGTTTACAAACATCATCGTACAGCTGAATACACTGAAACAAATATATACTCATGATATAGTCACAATTGTACAATCGACTGCTTTTAGCAGAGATTTCTTCCGGATGTGGAACGGGTTTTATCGCTTGTATTGTTTTCTTGTACCCAAAGTGGATATCTCCCAAAATCGTAAATGTTTATATTATGAAGAATATATCGTTTACTGTTTGATAACCGCTAAATTCGTAGTTCGTAGTGCGATGAGGCCCATCAATCTCCCTCCTATAAAACTGATTACCCCAGACACTCGCAGACCCCCATCTCAAGACATTCACAAGATGTTGCTTGCACTCACAACAACCCATTTACCGGAAATTCTATACTAATATCTGCCCACTCCACTGGTCGTAATGCTCACCACCCTCTCCTCATGTGATCGGCCCTGTGGACTTGCCCTGAAGCTGCGATTCTAACCTTCTCTGGAGGTTGAGGTCGTTCAGCTCTTTTTCTCCTCTCTTTACATAACGTTGTTCTGATAATGTGTGTCTTTCCCTCGCAGATAATGCATTTCACACTTTATAGTCATTATCAGATGAATTGGACCTTTAAATCCATGGTTTAATTCAGTTTGAATATCGCCTTTGTGGAAATGGAAGCTGCAGAATGAACACTGTCAATAATGATTTGAGCATTCCCGCTGAGTGTTTCAGTCAACAGTTATCAACTTCTGCAATGAATATTCTTCAATGGATATCAAAAAGAGAAATATAACGATTTGCTTCTCAAATGGAACACAGTCTAAACGAAAAATGAACGCATTATAGTCGGGAAATAAGTGGGTTGCGTGTCAACTGCGCAGCCTGCAACACGGAGTATTTGAAACACAGCACACCGCAGAGGTTCTTGTTTCTGGGACAAGATGTCTATCGCTTGGAGTTAGCAGAATATGGGTCAATTCGCTTCATTTACAGCAGGCAGGCAATTTATCCAAAGTCTAGGTCTCTTAGAATCGAGTTCGATTTGCAAATCGCTCAAACTTTTAATGGTCTAGAACTGACTGTTCTATTTGATCGATAGCTGACAAATACCTTGCCGGGTTAAACCACGCGGTATTTGCGTCAGGAAATGACTTGTCTGAAACAACACATTTGGGCCTAATTTAAAGGGTCAGTTAGGCACTTCTTGAAATTTGAGTACGACGAACCGGCGATGCCTTCCATAGGAACTAGTAATCTTCCTGTAATGACATCGCTCTCAGGGGTCAAATTAAGCTAATCAACTTACTGAGCGTAAAGCCAAATCACTCATGGAGATAGCCACGCGTTTTACTGCAGGATTTGCCTCTCGCGTTCATCCTGGCATTCAATGTTTGTATGTCCAAATGTCAGATTGCTTTTCACCTTCTCGTGATTTCATTTGCGTTAAAGCAGATACTGGATGTTTGTGTTAAGGGAATCATAAGATTATTCAAACAATACGGCTAAATAGGTTATTGTACTGGATGTCGGCAGTTGCTACTTACATTAAGTATAACATGACAGAAATCAGAGGAAACCCAGTCTGGTATAATGTCTATGACCCTGTGATATTTGCTCAATCTCACCGATAAAATAACATATAACAGGTGAGTTCTTCTTCTACCTCCTGTAGATATGTAGGGCACTATTGTGTGTCCTTGACTTATGAATATCACAGTTTAGTATTTAAAACTTTAGAAACTGTAATGAAATGTCAAATTTAAATAAATTAGAAACTGTTTTCATTCCAGGTCTTGCATGGCATTTGTATTCATTCCATTCATTTGCAACTGTTTTAAAGCGCATGGAATGCATATTAACATTCACAATGCGATATATGATATGATTGTGTCTGTTCTGATACATTTACCATCATTTCCGTATTCCACATAAGGTGACAGTGGGGTAGTCTAGTGGTTAAAGCGTTCGCTCGTCTCGCCGGAGACTCGGGTTCGCTTTCCCACATGGGTATACTGTGCGAAGCCCATTTCTGGTGTGATATTGCTGGAATATTGCTAAAAGCGACGTAAAACCAAACTCACTCACTCATTATTCCATACATAACTACCGCAATTGCCGTCATCAAACACGAAGTAGTTTTATGTCAGAGACATGCAAGTTTTGATGGAATGTTTCCTTTCTCTTCATGCATACCATGCTGCAAGTTTTGATGGAATGTATCCTTTCTCTGCACGCATACCATGCTGCAAGTTTTGATGGAATGTTTCCTTCCTCTGCACGCATACCATGCTGCAAAAAATCTTTTTAGCGTATCTGCACTATAAGCAACTGTATATTTTAATAAACATTTTCTGAAACACTGACTGAACAACCGTCGTACCTTGTCATGGATGTTGAACTGGATACAATGTCGTGTATTATTCATAAAGAGACGATGAATAGAAAATGTCAGGTACAGGATGCTCAGCCATAGAACATCAATTATTTAGATGTAGGGATAAATTATATATATTCGCGTCTCTCGTTATATATGTCGTCATTTTTCCAATATTCATAAAGGTTGAAGAAGGTTTGTTTTAGCTTTCGTGTCTGTATCTTCATCTCTCTGACTCTCTGCGACGTTCTCTCGCTCTCGCTCCCTCTCTCTGTCTCTCTCCTGTCTCTCTCACTCCCTCCCTCTCTCTGTCTCTCTCTCCTTCCCAAAGGTGAAAAATGGCTCACATACATACTTATCTATTACGTTAGTTCCGTTTCTCATTCACAATATAAAAGCTATAGTGCACAGTAATACACCCCTGAATACATCCACAGTGGCTCAGTCCCCACGTCTGTCCTGTTCCTGCATATACTGTAGATAGACAGACACAAAGACACTATATACAATGCACCACTTAATCCCCAGTGGCTCAGTCCCCACGTCTGACCTGTTCCTGCATATGCTGTAATTGAGTGAGAATCTCTCTCTCTCTCTCTCTCTCTCTCTCTCTCTCTCTCTCTCTCTCTCTCTCTCTCTCTCTCTCTCTCTCTCTCTCTCTCTCTCTCTCTCTCTCTCTCTCTCTCCCTCTCTGTCTATCACACACACACGCACACTCAGAGTCTCCGTGTCCCTACAGCGAAGGCCGGGTTTGAATGTATCAGGAAGAAAAAATCAATATTGATATCTAAATTAATGAGATATATCTCTTGCTTTACAGGTTATTCAAGGCCAACGGTGACCTGAAGCAGTTGTTCAGCAATTTCCGTGATCTGACCAATGACGATGACCTTCGCGTTAATGAGACGCTAGAAAAGCATGCAACGCTGGTGATGGGAATCCTTGACGAGGCCATCTCCAACGTGGACAGCGTCGACTACACGTTAGACGTTCTACATCGAGCGGGAAGAACGCACACCAGATTCCCGGGCTTTGAGCCAGACCTCTTCGTGGTACGTATACGTCATGCCTGGGATGATTGACACGTGTGAATACAATTTCTGGCAGCTCCTAACTACATAAAGTGAGATGTATCAATAATAGATTTTCTGGCCTCCAGTGTGATATGTAACTGAATACATCATATACTGAACAGGAACGATCTTTTTTATGGATAGACAACTTCTTTATTATCCCCCGCAACGCGTTTTGCAGGGTGTGTGGGTGTGTGTGTTATTAAAATGGACTCCGTCCGTGCACATTTGTCTTTTCCGGAGCAGAACTCTAAAACCGTTCACTATTTCTTCACCAAACTTGGCACATAGATAGATCTGGTGGTGTACTGGTGCCTTTTGGTAGTTTTGGAATTCTGAATAAAACATTTTTGGCGTTTTCATGGCAACAATTTCGACTTAGAATGAAATTTAATGGTAGTGTTCTCTTCCGGAGCAGAACTCTAAAACCGTTCACTATTTCTTCACGAAACTTGGCACATAGATAGACCTGGTGGTGTACTGGTGCCTTTTGGTAGTTTTGGAATTCTGAATATGGCAACAAGTTTGACTTAGAATGAAATTGGTGATAGTGCTCCTTTCTGGAGCAGAACTTTAAAACCTTTCAATACTCTCCTTCCACTTTTCTATATACACACCTAAATATTTGACATAATCATAACTTATAGACATAATCATGAAGAGTATTTTGCCATTGCGGGGGATATTGATGACTTTGTCTTCTTGTTGCAATGGATGCGGCGTTTCGGTGTAGATGCTAACACCTTTATCAACCAGGTAATACATAACATTATGAAGAAGAGAGAATATACACATGAAGGATATTAGAGTTCATACAATTAACCAGGTTGATGTACAGTTTGATGACATTACTAATGGTCGTTGTGATAATATTACCCGTGAAGGTCCGGGTTAGAATATTGATTTTCAGTAACCCATGCTTATCGTAAGAGGCGACTAACGGGATCGGGTGGTCAGGCTCGCTGACTTGGTTGACACATGTCATCAGTTCCCAATTGCGCAGATCGATGCTCATGCCGTTGATCACTGGATTGTCTGGTCCAGACTCGATTATTTACAGACCTCCGCCATATCGCTGGAGTATTGCTGAGTGCAGCGTAAAACTAAACTCACTCACTCACTGTGATAATATATATTGCAATAAAGTAACATCGAAGACCTGGGTTCGATTCCCCACATGGGTGCAATGTGTGAAGCCAATTTCTGGTGTTACCCCGCCGCGATGTTGCTGGAATATTGCTAAAACGGCGTTAACCATACTCACTCACTCACTCACTATTGCAATAAAGTTGTCTTTCCATACAAAATCGTTCCTGTTCATCATACTTCTAAATGCCACTCAAACCAAATATATCATATACTGTACAAACAAGCTGAAACCAAACTTACACACCACATCAACGGTAACAGAATAGAAGCCTTGAGTGCTTTTATGCCTAAAATCTGCATATATTTGTTGTTTTTCGAAAATGTATTTCCATAAATGAATTATTCACCAAATGTCAGCATGTGACAGGAAACCTGTCAGGAATCGTCTCCTGATAATATTCTCACGAACATTTCAGAGAATACTAGGTTTTCCCTGAAGGTTTAATTTGTAACATTTAGGGCTCATATGTCGCTAGACAATTCCTGCATTACTGCATCAAATGTTATTGGTCGGTTTACACATTTAAGAGATACTTAACCAATGTCGTATAAAGTATTTATGCTCTTACTTGTAAAATCATTGGTTTGAATGTCAATTGCCATGGGTATTTAACTCACAATTGACATGAAATATCTGAAACCATTAGAAAGTACTGCCATACCTGTGCATCAATTTACCGTTATAATTCCAATAGTAATAATTTTGTTCTTCAAGCTTGATAATAACAAAAGTAATAATAATAGGCATGATCTATAAGGGAAATGCTTCTTCTGTATGACTGAAGAACAACGTCAGTGCCTTGCCAATAGGTATTACCCCAAAATGCTTATCAGTTCTACGTATTCTGATAGATCGATTGGTATTTCCGTACTCGAGCTCAATTAACTCGATCAAACATACATCCGCATTCTGAAAGGCAAAAACACTGTATCGTATTTATACTGCTTTCAGAGAGTGTCTGCTTTAGGCGAAATTATGTATGATAGTATTCATATTTTCATTAAAATTTCATGCTCTGAAGCTTGCAACTGGGAGTAGCCTGATAGCCAGCGTCTGCCTGTGGGTGCCATGAAACGGTCCTTTATAGCCGATGAGTCGTCAAGAAGAAATACAATACGTGCTTGCAAATATGGTGCCATGTGCCAAGTCCTTTTAACAAGCTGTCACCCAACCATTGTAAATTGATAAGTCTTTACTTTGGGGACAGCATCGCGACGCTAAACAGATTACGTGCGCTTATCACTTTACGCTACCAGCCTTCTCATTGGTAGAGTGGAAAAGAAATCAGGACTTGTTGGGCTCATTACAATGAAATTTAATAATATTGCACACTCTCCAAACTCCACGTTGATAAGATTGTGAGGCATGCTGGTTGTTTTTACCAATGTATACAGACGCATAAAAAGTATTCTTGAACCGAATACTGACACACACACCTTGAACAGAATTGGTCTTCAGTAACCCATGCTTGTGGTAAGAGGCGGATCGGGTGGCCAGGCTTGCTGACTTGGTTGACACGTCATCGTATCCCAATTGCGTAGATCGATGCTCATGCTGTTGATTACTGGATTGTCTGGTCAAGACTCGATTATTTACCGACCGCCGCCATATAGCTTGAATATTGCAGAGTGCGGCGTGAAACAAGAAACCAACAAACCAAGCTTCCATATTAAACATACACGCCGTCATACACCTGTAATAGGATTCACTCACACATAACCATCATATTTTTATAATAGTGTCGGCTGTTTTATGTCATGGCAAACGAAATACACACTACAAAACTTCTAACACGAACATATATACTGAGTATAAAAAGTTAAGCGCCTGTCTATTTCAAAACGAAGATGTGAAGCTGTGGAAATGGTAGGCTAAAATAATTGGGAAGATCAATCCATATTTAGAGAAGGTTCATCTGGTAACTGATTTAGAGATATCATAATCATTTGTATTTACAATTAAAGGAAATATTGTTAAAGATATGATGGCACTGATTTTTAAAGCCAAACAACTATTCCTATTCTGCTTATACAACGCTATTAAACTTAGGTTTCACTTGTCAAAAATGACAATCATGTGACCATATAACAGTCATTTCTGATTTTCATTTTTCAAAAGGAGTTAACCTTTTTGAGCAAAACAAAATGCATCTTTTCCAAAAGCGCATGTATCCTGTTTAAAGTAAAAGATAATTTCCATAATGGTTTTGTTTTTAAACTAAAAGTATTAAACCAAATTATGATAGTTGCTTTTTTCTGAAAGATTTCCTATGAGACAACATATATTGGCAAAATATACTGGATGGCGCTTAACTTTTTATTCACGGTATACATGTTTGCAATAAACACTGCAAAAACATTTTACTGATCACGAAACAAATAGTATTACCAAAAGCGCAAACTGTCACGAGAAGTGTGTTTCTTATTCATAATATAAATTCAATGACACCAGGTGTTCGCGAAAAGTGCTTATCTCGGCCACAGGTTGCAACAGCACAAGCATTTGTTTGTATCGAGCGATTTCAGCATGGTTGGTAACAGACAACTGTACTCAAAGTCTTCCGTTAGATTATGTGCCAGACTAGCTATTTATTAGTTATGCTATTCATACACCGGCGGTCACTAACCGCAACATATGTTGATCGATGGGCAAAGGTGTCAAAAGTCACTTGAACTCTTCCGACCTCGCGATCTTTGGCCTATGGATTGGGTCCCGTTATATGCGTTCCTAAGAGCTAGTTGGGCAGATAACACAATTTGTGAGGCCATAGAACGGGAATATTTCCTCTTATGACCTTATTGGATAGTGCAGAAGAGCAACTCGTTAGTTTGCCTTGATGACAGAAAACAACACAATTCACGTCTTATCAGCAAGGTCAAATATCTCATGTAAACTTAGCAGTTGTTATTCACATTAGCAGAATCTGAAATGTATGCAGCAGTTTCGGATCTGCAATTAAATATAATACGTGGTTAAACTGCGATTCGGTTTTATGTATAACACAATTACAATGTACTTCTTTACGAAACTTTCGGCGTATTAGCTACGCACAGCATGTTTGCATAGTGATAGCAGTCACATTCAAGCCTTGAAATCATCGGCTATTCATTCTTCAAAGCTGTAATTATAAAAGTGCAATATCTATTTACTTGGCCCTTGCCCCAGCTTCTACGTTGTTATTATTTCGGAAAGTATGCCAAACATTAATTTGTGCTAGTTTATATTATGGAACTTTCTGACAAAAGCTGACCTTACGTGCTAATCATAAACTAAATCATGAACTAATCTGTAATATCTATTTTCCAGTGGATGGAACAACCGTTCTTGGAGGCCGTGAAACAGACTTTAGGGGACCGCTATACGGACAACATGGACGTTATTTACAAAATAACTATCAAGTTTATTTTAGACAATATGGTGAAAGGCAACAAGGATGCGTTGTCTTGATGTGTGAGGCATGTGTGTGTACGCGAGTCACCACTCTGTTATCACCATACGTCCAATGCGTGGATGCATGCCAGGATACCTGAGATTGTGTGTACTCTTCATCCATTTTACATGAACCGAGGCCCTCAACCAAAGCCCTTTCGACCGTAACGGCCGGACCATATCTCAGTGAAGGGGCTCTTATCTCTTGTGGCATTCACACACAGTTCATTGAAATAGAAGTACGTGTGTATTGTATTGCAACGTTGCCGTATCTTCAAGAAGGACCGAATGAAATCAAATGCGCCACATCTTCCCTTGACCAACATGACGTCTCACCAAATCGGATTTGTTTGAAAACAAAGTTCTCATCAAGGATATGTTGTGGCAAGACGACTGATGAGTGACTGCGTTGTTTATACTCTGCTGTTTTGTGTGTAATTCATGTTGTTAACGTGCGTCGTCATGAACACCACACGTGTTGGCAACGTTCCCTCGGGATGTGTATCTCTAAAGCTGTACCTACTGGTTCGGTAACCCCGGAAGCGATCCCTCTGCCAGATCCAGGCACAGTTAATACACCGGGAATGTGAACTTATCGCCAGCTACAATCACACCTTCTGCACGCCTCTAGGAAATATTCTATATCAGTTGCCTGATTGAATCAATATCCAAGTGTATTGGGAGAAACAGGAACCGGTACAAAAGTTCCTGCTTGGAATCTCTGTGAATTTGTATGTTGTTGGTATTACCGTACGGCAAATCAGAACTGCTGACTGAAAGGGTATACACTGTATTTATGAACTGTTTGTATTGTTGTAATTTAATATATTTTGGTAAACATTCTCAACATTTAATTAATGTTTCTTGGTAGTTGGAACCATTCTCAAAGAGGAATGTTGGCCATCAAGCATTGTCAAAGAGGACGCTGTTGTAAATATCTAACTGAAAACAGTGAAGTTACTGCAAAATATTAATAACCACTTTTGTCATTGTTGATTTAAACAACAAAGCTTTAAAATCTGAGCAAACGATGCCCAACTAAACCTGGATTTCAAATTCTCATAAGCAAAAGAAAACGTCATATTAACTTTCGGTAACAATTTCTCAGATGTGTAACTTTCCAATTGGTTTCCAACTCATTAACACTCGACGTGGCACACTTGAAGAATCGTTTCCCAAAACTTCCCCACGGCCGTAACACAATGAATAAAAGTCTAACATACAAGTATGGGATGTCAGTGTAACACGTTTATGTATTTCCGGTTATTTAGAAACCTTTCCTCCTTTAACGACGCTTGTCTACAATATCCATGAAACTATTTCATCTCACTGAGAAAAACACAGTGTATATTAGAGAAGTCAGGTTATGTAAGTGGTCCCACATTCTTGAATATGTGCAAATATTTTCAGCATGATTTATGGGTTTTTCGAAATGCTTCAGAATAACGAGACGGGATTGCTCAGCACTGATAGACATAGAAGATAATGTATGGAGCAGTTTACGATAGTCAGAAATAACATAGAAGTATTTCCAACATGATTTGCTTTCGTTTATTTAGGAGATAATCCTATTGTGTTTACATTTTGGAAGTGATTATAGTTGGTTGAACGCTGCTAAATGGGACTACCCCGGTGGACAGTAGCCCAGTCCCCATGTCCGCCACGGTCGAGGGAGCAGGTTTCGTAATTAGACTCTTGGCTAGAAACATTAATCGCTCTGGATCAGTGCCCCTTCAAGTGTAACGAAGGCTTTCATTGGCTGGTTCCAACATTTAGCAGCGTTCAACCAACTATAATCACTTCCAAAATGTAAACACAAAAGGATTATCTCCATTCTACGATGACATATGCACCATGAATAAAACGCGTTTTAAATATGCACTCATTACCCTTGCGTAGTGTTGTTTACCATTGTAAGGGTTAATGAGTGCAAAATATTACTACGCGATGTGAACCGGCTCTCAGAAGTGGTTATTGAAAATTGTTCACTTCTAATTTTTTAGTAACAGACAATCAAAAACGAACATATTTAAATGTCATGGTAGAAGGAATAACAATTGTACCACTGGATCGCGCACCGTAGATTCAAGTTTTATAACGACATATATATTACTAATGTACCTTATGTGCTCAATTGGTTTGAGCCAGGAGAACACGAAAACCACTCGGAACAATTATCATATGACAGTTAACGGTTAGGTTACAAAATTCAGATTGATGATGTCAAAAACAGTTGTTTGAATATCAGGCCGAATCTGAGAACTGACAATTTCATCAGTATAAATCCAGGCCAATTTGGCCAACTATGTTTGTCGCGGATAAATTTACTTAAACGTCATTTCTCAATGCAGGCTAACAACAAAAAGCAGCCCCTATAAATGAGGCCACGGTCTAGGCGCTAATAATGGTGCTGAGCTGATTTCCAGAGAATGTCATAAAACTTATTAACTAAATTCTAGTCGGGTCATATGCCATGAGACACTATCCAAATTGATAAATTATAATAAGGTCTTAGGTAAGATATCGTTGGCTCCTTTCATATTTATCCAGTTGGGCACTAACTTGAAAGGGCATCTTGTTTGTGTTTCCGAGGTCTACATTGGTCAAAGGTTACAGTATTGATATATTCCGCGCTAATGATTAGTGCCAAACATTATTTTATCATTGAGCTAATTTTACCTTTTACAGCCCCGAGGAAAACATCGATTCAGCTGGAAAACATTTGTCAATTTTCATTGGAAATGAGTTGGGCCTTATTTGTTCTCAACTTCATATGAATAGTTTTGCCATAAAATGCAATGCTGTTCCCTAAACGAGGCCACCCTCACATTAAACTCTCCATTAATCGAATGATATGACGATTGTCATCATACATATCAGAGTCAATGAATAGTCAGTCTTAACTATCCTCAGAAACAAATTCCTTTTGCTGTGAATGGGAAAGAAATAGCTGTGAAAATTATATAAAAGGATCAATGAAACGAGATCTTCGCGAAGAAGGTAAGCTTGTTCTGCCCAACCGTAGCCTCCCGTCATTCACAGAATTTGTAAACATCGTTCACAAAGGTTATTGTGTTCAGGGGTAAACAAACATGTTGAAGGTCAACGGTACGTGTCATCGCCATACCATAAACACATACTCACCTGGAAGGGGCAAGGATTGGTCAACACTTTAGAGTTAGAGAACTCGGTTAAGGTGCACCTTCCACAATGGAACAGGTCTGAGTAGGGCAGTTACCTGTTAATACGTTATACAAATGTACTTCAATGGGTCGCTTGTAATCAAACTGATACAATATCATACACTAATAACATAATAAGAATCACACAGATTGTGGTACTGAGCCTGGTAATGTGATCTATGGATCTATGAATTGTTCAAAATAACAAGCTTAAATGGATGCTAAAATAGTACGTGATGAATTCTCTCCCCTGAATGTCATTGAATGATATAAAATATATTCTGACAATTAATATTGTGATATGTTTAGAGAATGTCGCACGATAGTACTGAAAACATTATTTAAATTAACCGGAATGAAACCGATTTTAAAACAAAGATTATATCTCTGATCATTTATGTCTGCCAGTCACTGATTGATCTAAACAGGTGTAGCAAGGTATCGTGATGACCTCCTGACAACGTCCGCTCACAGACATCATTAGACGTTTATAGCATGGCATTGGCAGCTTGTTCCTTTCATTCAACATACACATACTCCTGCTCTATGTCTCTGTCTATACGACAGTTTTCAGGTCACTTGTCAAGTCGACTACAAATCAATATATTTAGAAACTTATTTTACCATTGACTGACGATGCGTGAAAAAATGCTTCGGCCCCGTTTCACAAAGAACTCTAATACGACCGTTACTCTGGTAATTTGACATAGACATATATCAGTCTTAGTGAAACGGAGGAAGGAAAAATGATAGATTATATATATATATATATAATGCTTATTTTCAAAGAATTCCTTCTGTGTACATCTGGCAGCACATTGTTTGATTTAGTCGCATTGTGGCTGTGCCCTCTACAGCAAGCATCGTGCGTCTCCTTTACGTCTTCAGCTGAGAGTGGACACGAGAAGATGGCTTCCTAAGATTCCAAATGAGCTAGCTCAATAGATTCATGTTGTCTCCCTCTCAAGAAAACACGAGGTAACAGTGAGATTCCTCGAGAGTTAATCACCAATGGCTAGCATAGTTTCATGTTGTAATCTGTTCTGCATATTTTTTTTATTTTCATAAGTTGATGATGTCCACTTCTTTTCTTATACTGCTACACGTTCTATTGTACAGTGAGATTCACACATTTCAGGAAATAGTTCGTAAAATGACAGAAGCAGTACACTGTAACTCTTTAGGTGAGTTTTTACAACCTTCAGTGCTTTGTGGTATTTTGTAAATATATATCATGTGACTAGTTTCAAACAAGAGGTAGTATTTTCCTAGTTGTCGTATTTGCCTGTGCGGAACAAGAAGGTTAAAGATGGAGAGACCCTGCTGAATATATCAAGTTTAAAAGGAAAGGATTTATTAATTTATTAATTTATTTATTTACTTTATGTCATAGGGTGACCAACCTGTCTCCTTTGTCAGTTATCCCGACTTGTTCCAAGGTGTATGGATAGATCTGTGTTAAAATGTATTCGGTATTCCATAGAAGAATTCCAGATATTGGAATTAAAGCTGTATGAACGTTTCATTAAGACATTGCCACCAATTCTCTGACTGCATTGGCAAATATTATGTTGACACACGTTTGCTTGTCATGTGTAAACCACTGTATTCGGTTTAATGTATAGAACGTACATCTAGATAATGAGTTCGTCAAACCGATAGTTTGCTATTGCGTTTAATTAACTGCCCTTCAGTTAATGACAACAGAGAATTGTGGCATAACAACATGTTTATTGATAACTAATATATATATATATTTATATATGTATATGAGTAATGATAATGGCGAGAGAACTCGCCGGTCGTGTATTCATAGAAGTATGGGAATAAGAAATGTCAGGTGACGATATAAGATACGTGGCTGTAGAGCAGGGATGACGTCATGAATGACGTAATCGCTCGCTTCCAGCACCAAGTGTTGTACATATTCCATGTACATGTGTCACCGTAACTGTACATAGCTCTTTATGAAGTATGAATAAAACGATACAGTTGTTACAGCAATGGCTCTTTGTACTTTGTCAAAGATTAGAATAGATATCGTCAGAGTATCATGAAACAACGAAAGGCACAAACCACAGAAAAACAGCTTGCTATATTTGTTTTCGCTGCCCTGTACCCGTCCTTTCATCTGTTGCGCCAATGAAAAAGAATTCGCGGCTCGAATTGATTGATTATTTAAACAAAGAACAGAGAACCCATATTCATAAATAGTATGGTGTCATCAGTTACTAAATATCACTTTGAAACCATACAATGTTCAATGAGTGCTGAAACAAATGGTGGGCTTGCATGCGACAATGTCCATTGCTGTTAATGGAAGATTAAGGCAAAACTTAATATTGTTACGAAGGTATGATATTCATATGACCAACAAGACGTAATTGTCTGTCCTAAACTTGTAAGGTTTGGTGTAACGAATTGCACAGAAGTGTGTCTAAAGCCAATAGAGAATGTTCATTTTGAAGAGAGCATGCGCCAGTTCGTGACCTAAGCTGGAGTTTCGGCAAAGGCGTTATATTGTTTTGCATTGGCTTGGGGCAAGTTGTCAAATTCCTTCCCTTCAGAATATTCACATGATGTTTTGCACCTGCAAGGGCCGATAATCGTATATTTGACCCCCTTATACGAAGATGGGAAGTGTTTGTCTGAAATCTAAACTTTCCATTTCAAATGAAATCTTAGAAAGAAACAACGGTATTTCGGATTGCAATATCCTGACAATGGGAAATTCATCTCAACAGATAACTTACACAACGGGTAAGCAAAAGTTATGTTACATGTTACATATTATAATATCTTACATTTCTGGAACAAGTGACTCTTTTGTTAGTTACTGAGAGTTTCAAATATTCACATGATGACAATAGTTATACATTGACACAGGCAACACAGTGGTTGGTCAGTCATTTCAACCAGCCTTCCCTTGGTTCCTCTGGCATTCACAGTTATGTCCAAATGCACATTATGGTATATATAATACTATTTTACAATGCACATAATTCTAACAGCTAAATAGGACAGCACGAGAATGTGGTTAGAAATCATAAGATGATATGCATAGAATCTAAATATCCCTGAAGTTGCACAATTAAGAAGTCGATTAATGAACACCACTGGCACCTAATACATAGGGGTAAATACCTATGGAATTATCGAGCCAGTGCTTCAACATATAGATAAAAGGATTGATTCAAATGACATACAAGATGACCTAACAGTGGAATATCATGTCCATCCACGTATAGAAGGAGTGTCACTGAAAATGTCCTTCATGACATATGGGATCATGATTCCAGTAGTTACTACTGCTAGGATAGGCTTTTAAAGACACACTTCAAAAATTACGGATTTGACTTAGAATTTGACAAAGTTTTGGATTCTCTGCAGGAATAATATTGCCAACTGTGCTTAGAGAATTGTTTCAATTTCGACATGGAGTCACCGAATGGGTATGTAATGTCGTAATCAACAGATTTGTTCTGTTTCAAGGAACTCAACTTGCACAAATGTGAGGTCCAACGAGCTTTGACACGGACGTTTCATTAATTAGTTACCTTCATCGACCAGGTCTCACTTTATTCCTGGGCACCATTTATGCCAGGTCTTAGACACGAAACAAACGAAAATCGTTAAATTCAGTTCCTCTCGAAACTGAATGTGTAACTTTATAGGCCTTTCACTAACTAGAAGAAAAGAATGTATGGATTACGGTAACTGTCTTCATGTATTTACATCGTTGTGGCATTAGAATGATATATTCAGAAAATGGGACTAATTAAATCAAGTTTCTGCAGGAAATGGAAGAAAACTAAAGTGTCTATATAGATATTTTATATTGATTTGTAAACAGCTAAATAGTTGCAAGACAACTGTATACTCTGTCACAATGGCAATATGTTATACTCATAAACACACCAAGCACGTTATTATGCTTGTCTTCACCATGTATTTACACAATTTTAAACTAATTATTACTAGTATTTCCATGATACATTTTACATGTATACCAAGCTTGCACACGTTGTTCCCCACAAAGCATCTCTTCTGGGGTGTAAATTTAGATATTCTCTTGTCATTCTGGTGAATCAGTGTTACTTGATTCCATCCTTCCGATAAGCTCGAGATTTCAACATTGCACATCAGTTATCCAGGATAAGTCTCCTTCGTCCTTTAAGCACATAGTACAGGCATATTCGCTTCATTGCACATATCCTTCGCTGGCATACCTTAAAATGACAATGCCACCACTGATGGAATACTTTCGGAACGTTGTCGTTGATGTATGGTCAGCCAAAGATGGTAGCCGTTGATCACTGGAACTACGGTAATTCCAACTGCTCAGTGGAAGCCACCGACACTGTTCACGCATAATTTGCTTTGCATCCTCATTGAGTTGGCCTGCCACGAGAAGAAACATCTCAGAACATCCTGTCAAGGTTCTGACTCCACCGGTGATGCACTGTTGTTGACTTTATGATCCTCGTTGAAACCATCAGAAAGAGCCTGTAGAATGAACGTGATAGCAATTTTGTATATTGACTCCATATTGTCTGTGTAGCGATCCCCGAGGGTAATCTTCACTGCTTCCAAGAATGGTGATCTCATTGTCTGAAACAGAATAACACATGTGTTTGAGAGCGAAGTATAGGGGCAGTTGTTTTGAATGCGAAACGAGCCAGACAGAAAACTGACAAATAATAAAATAAAAATTGATGATAGTATACTTTTCCCAAGGCATGGCTACAACCCAGACAGAGGGGCGATTTAGAAGCTAATAGCCCTATATTTGTGTTATTGATTTGCTGAAATAAAAACGGCCGTTAAAACATACCAGCTACAGAAATGAGTTGTATTATTCATCTACAAACATTTCAGTAGATGTGTTTTGCGGTATGGTACCTGACCCCAGATCCACTAAGTCTTCTCCACTTAGGATTATTTCTCCCTTGGAACCCCTAACAGCAAAGTGAATGAGAGGTTTGTCACATGTGAAACACGTTACAGGATTACGCTCCCGTTGGGTTCTTGGTTGGAATTGGTCTCAAGTAACCAATGCTGAACATAAAAGGCGGTCTATTGGTTCTGGTGGTTAAGATCGTTGGCGTGCTTGATAACGCGCCAGTGATCTGTTATGTTCATAATATCAATCACTGGACTGCCTGATCCAGACAGAGTTACAGGCGGACGTCACGTGTTTAGTAGGGAGTTAAACAATAAACTAATCATTACGAAGAATACTTTCCGGTAATTTTTGGAATTTGAAAGAATTGGTACCATGCATAAAGTTTGAAGTAATACTTCGAACTATGCTTTCAATTAATACTCGTTTTTATTATTCTCTAACAGCCAACATGAACCCAATTTCAACTGGAAAAAAATGGAACGAGTGGTCCTGAGTGACGTTATCTTTCACTTGTTCATGCCAGACAATCACATTCTGAAGTATGGATGAGGCAGTTCCTGTTAGATCCTTAGCTGTATGGCGTATTCTTCCAAGAAGCAGACAATTACAGCCGCAACGCAACTCACAGGCACATGTGGTGCAAGGGATTAAAGTAGCACAACCCTCGTTGTGTTTGTACGTAAAACATGTATGATGACCTCATATACTTTGTCCTTTTGTCGAAGAAGATGAATTAATTGCAGAAAGCGACAAACACAGACCATTGTAAAATGAGCACTTTGAGAATGTACTCAATTATTGTCATACTGAACGAGCATCTTCAGAATGTACTCAGTTATTGTCATATTGGATGGTGAAGACAAATATGGCTTCAAACGAATGCGTGCAAAATATACACGGATTCAAAAGAGCTCCATCATGTCAATAAGCTATATATTATAATGCCTACACAGCAGGAACATATGATATTATGATGAGGCTTGTATAGAGCGGCCATGCAATCGATCGTGGACAGTTCCGTCAGGGGCTTCATAACACATGCCTCTGTTAGAGTGGAACGATGTGCCGGGTTGGCTTTCAATCAATATGGAAATACATCGCAGTAAAGAGTGAATGTTTACAATCCCAATATTAATACAACCACATCAAAGACGAATACCTTTGACTTTCTATATAAAGGAAGACACTTAGCAGAGACTCCCACCAGTCTGTCAATACAGCACTATGCAATGTCAGACTATTATGTCAATGCTTATCATCATAATGTGTGATAGGCCATCGTTCCGTGGAGCTGAAGAGATGAATTTCTATTTTAAAAAAGAACTTCAGTCATTCTTTGGCTAAGATAAGATGATATACAGTTATCATAATGAAACCACCACAGTGCAGTACCCGCATTAGACTGACTGACTGAGTTTGGTTTTACGCCGCTTTTAGCAATATTCCAGCAATATCACGGCGGGGGACACCAGAAATGGGCTTCACTCATTGTACCCATGTGGGGATTCGAACCCGGGTCTTCGGCGTGACGAGCCAACGCTTTAACCACTAGACTACCCCACCGCCCCACCCGCATTAGAGGACACATTAGTTACTGGGGATTAAGTGTTGACATTTGAACTAGGGGATGCTAAAAACCACGGGAGACCTGTTTGGTTACAGATGGTGTCATCAGCAAAATGCCCGTGAGTCGCTGCTCATCAAATTGGGGTGAGTGAGTGAGTTTAGTTTTAAGCCGCTTTTAGAAATGTTCCGACAATATCACGACGGGGTACACAAGAAATGGGCCTCAACCATTGACCAATGTAGGGAATCGAACCCGGGTCTTTGGATTGACGAGTGAACGCTTTAACCACGTGCACTAGGCTTTCCCACCGCCTATAATTTGCGGTGGAACAGTCCGAGGAAGTAATGATACCCGATATATCCATGGGAGTCTTCAAATGATTACTGATGATAAAAAGATGCAGGTCTGGTGTCACAGATATAGTGTGTCCATTGGGTTACCGATGCTTCAGGGTAGATAAAGTAGCCTCTTGAGTTTGATTCTGTACAGGGTTTACATTGTGAGAATTGCTGAAAACCACGTAAAACCATAAAGCTACACTGATAGTGTCGCATGGCTTGTCAGTCCTCATTGACGTGAAGGTACTGCCTTGTAATTCCACAACATCTGTTGCGTGACATTATTATTGACAGCCTAGACACAGAAAGGCAGCCATTAAGCTCTTCGTGTATTGTTGCTTTTTAGCCTGCATTTAGAACCAGCAACGAATCTGTCAAATATGAACCTATGGTATCTACTTTAGGTTATTTGTTGATTAAGAATCTGTACAACGTCAATTACTTGCCCAAACATCGTATACCGAAACTGTTGGTGCATCGACCAAAATATGACATAGATTACTGAAATTATAGTTAGTCAATCCAGTGACATATATATTCTGGATTATGTAAAGATTTGATTATTTGGGGGCTCGATAATCAGATTATAACGGAATATGTGTGAATTAGTGCGGTAACCTGTTTTAAAGAGTATTCAAATTATATCAGGTCTTTACATCGTAATGTTGGAGGGAAACCCGACATGATGACGTTAAAGACAAACCAGAAACACAGTCATAATGAACCCTCGAACTCATAATCTGTTTCTGGCGTGCCCAAAGATCACCGCAGCCCTCACAGATTATGTTTTAATCTACGATGAGTCCTGAAACCTGTAACCATGATAAACGTGCAATATAATATACATGTATACTAAGTAGCAAAAGAAACGTCAGTTTGGAATTTTCCTTCGCAGAAACGGATAACTGTTAACTCATTAACAGACATTCCTTCCCAAACTCAGAATGGAACCCAGGAAATGGTCTCAAAAACGCAACCTGATCTCGGAGATGGCACGGTGTTCTCCGTGTTTTTCATGCAACTCATGCTGCACGAGGACCAGCCCTATAAAATGCACCCCCAAACCTGGTTGAAACATTCACATTACAACGTCAGCAGGATGCCCCTTCTCACGACAGCTCAGAGGAACCAGGCGCTAGACTTAAAGCTGGCCACACTACACAAGCCGTTGCCCAACACTTCCAGGTCAATGTTCGGACCATCTACAGGCTGCAGCAACGTTTCTGGGCCACCAACACCACAAATGATCGCCCCCGTACTGGCAGACCAAGGGTGACCACAAGACGACAAGACCGCCATGTTGTGCGACAGCATGTGCAGAATCCCTTTATGCAGGCATCCGAAACAGCACGCCAGACAGTGGGAAACACGAAAGACCAAACAGTACTGATACAGTACGCCGACGTCTTAACAGCGGGAACCTCCATTGCCGTAGACCTTACCGTGGACCTATCCTCACCCCTCGTCATCGGCGTGAACGTTTACAGTTTGCCCTACAACACCAAAACTAGCGATACAAGCAGTGGAGAACTGTTCTGTTCACAGATGAGAGTCGGTACTGCGTATCAACTGCAGATGGCAGAACAAAAATAGGGCGACGACGTGGCAGCGTTACTCAGACCAATGTGACTGGAAAGAGACTCATGGGGTGGTGCAAGCATCATGGTATGGGGTGGAATAGTCCTGAACCAGAGAGTGGGTCCTGTGGTGTTCCAGAACCTTGGTCCAGGGAGAGGAGGCGGCATCAAAGCAGTGCGCTACATCGACCAAGCTCTCAGACCCCACGTCATACCACATTCCGCACGTCACCGGAACAACATTTTCTAGCATGATAACGCCCGGGCCCATACGGCCAGAACTACACGGGACTTCCTACAGCCGAACGGTGTCAACATTATGCAGTGGCCGGCCCTAAGTCCTGATTTAAACCTGGTTAAACATCTTTGGGATGAAATTCAGAGGAGACTGAATAATGTCATACCAAGGCCGAACACAGCCGATTTATTGCGCCAGGCCTTTTTCAGAGTGTGGTTCCAGGTGCCAGTGGCCTTCATCAATCGATTGGTGCACTCCATGCATAGACGATGTGCTGCAGTTATTGCCGCTCGTGGTGGTCACACTAGATACTGAAGTCAAGAGTCTGAATGGACTGCAAACGTTCACGTAATGTCTTGGAATTGTGCTGAGTTATTCATTGATGTGTCAAGATATTGTACACCAAACATGTTTTTGATCTGCTTATTATGTCCATTTCTGTAATGATTTGATTACAGTGCCTATCGAATTTTGAATTCGTATTGACGTTTTTATTGCTGCTGAGTATATTTACATATATGGTGTACAGTTCAATATATTAAATATGATAACACCGCAGCACTGAATACCTTTTTTTCATTTGCATTATAACCGTGTCTCCGCGATGGTAGGAATGAGACACGACGGAGGAAGAAGTAATCAGTGTTGTTTATTTGTTTACATATAGAAATGCAAACATAATAAAATAATGGGTGACTGAAAAAGATCAAACGTACATGTTAAATATTTTGATAATTAAGTGTAAACATACTTGAAAATGGTGAACTGTGATATTCTAGTAGTTTTACTGTCCTTCGATGAAAGGTTTTTACGTTATACATTTATTGATTGAATATTGATATAAACTGTTCTCGTCACAATATGGCTGCAATATTGCCGGTCTGACGTTAAATTTTAACTCACTCACTCACTCACTTAAAATGGTCCCACAGATAAGATCATTAAAGGTTATAGCCTCTTCCAATGCGTTTATTGACAATATAAG